TCAAGCCCAACCTGATCTCTGGAGACCCTCACTGCTGTCATTTCTGTATCTTACTCCTGCACCAGAACTCAGCAAAGAGGTAGAAGAGTTTAGGTTTGGGTCAAAGCAGAGCGGGACTGTTTTCTGGAAACTTTTAATAGTTTTAAATGCAGAAAAGCTGACCAGATTCATCTGGTTCTAAAAAGTTTCTGAGCTTGGGTAACCGACTCTGGTCCAGATACTGACAGAAGATATAGACTTGGCATCGGGACACAATGAGTCAGTCTGGTAAAATGACATCAGTAAACGGAAATAATCTATTTTATTTGGGCCAACAACCAAAGTGGATCTGTAGTCCACCCATGTGCTATAACCTTTCTGACGTCACAGCAACAGATCCAGGAGGGGAACCCAGATCCCTGTACCTAGGCACACCTTCCAGCTCCTCCTGGAAGATCCCAGAATGGGTATACAGTCATGGAAAAACTTGAACCACCATTATTTCCTTTAGTGTCCAGTTCGTTGTAATTTGATAGCAACAAGAGTATCTCATAAGAGTCTAATCTAAGAGTTGACATCTAACCAGTTCTGTTTTCTTGAAAATGAACAAAATCACTTTAGTTCTTTAATTTATAGATATGACATTTTACGGCCAAAAATAACATTCAGACATTCAATGTTTTCATTTTGTCTGTTTAATTCACGAAGGAGTCAATACTTTGCCTAACCATAGCCTTTGATGACTGCAGCCATGCGTCCTGGCGTGCTCTCCAACAGCTTCTAACATTCTGTTGCCACTGGAGCCCAAATCCGTTGCACAAGCTCAAACTAATTAGCTTTGGTCTTGGAGCTCTTTTTTTCTCATTTGGTGTTTCACTTTAGGTCAAGGAATGGCTTGAATGTTGTGATCCTCCATCCAGGCTTTGATTAACCTTGTTACGAGGCAGTGGGTATTGCCTTGTTGGAAAATCAAGTCATTTAAGGCTGGAAAGAGATCTGGTACCTACACTGGAAATTGTAGGTACCAGATCTGCTTGGGGCCCCGCCCCTTCTTATGACGTCAACATAGGGCTGGGCGATAATTCAATAACGATATATATCGATCGATAGACGTGTGGCGCAATAGAAAAAAAGAGGGTCGATAAAAGTTCGATAAAAAAGAAACGCAGTTTTCCTTCCTTCTCATTGTAGCCTAGCATGTAGGTTTATGCTAGTCACTGCTTCCTCCCAACCAATCACAATCGCAGACCCAGGCATGCCGTCACCAAGCGCCGCCCTCTCAAACCTCAACACAGAGCACATGAAGATGTCGCAGCAAGGAGAGGCGGAGGAAATTGTTTCAAAGAAGGGTTTTTGTAGTTCGGCAGTCTGGCAGTATTTCGGTCATGGCAAGTCGGACCAAAAACAAACCACAGTCATCTGGAAAATGTGTCGGGAACCAGTGAAAACCAGTCTGATAACGAAACCAACTTTTTTTTTTCATCTCAGCCGCTCACACCCGCAGGAGTATGAGCTGTGTAGGCCCTGGTGCGGCTCTCCTCCGAGGAATCTTCGGAAATATATATATATTTTCAGTTCTGGGCAGTTTCCCACGTAGTTCTAACAATCGAGATAAAAATGCTGAGGGGCCAGAAACTTCAAAGTAATAACTCAGGTTAAAGCAGGATACGGGGGCGACGGCGGCGGTGGGGGGGGCATTTATTTATTTGTTATATTTATTTTGGTCACTTTTCTGGTCACTTTAGTTTATTCTTTGTCAATATTTAATAACATAACTCAGGTCTCTTAAGTTATTTTTCTTTAAAACAATTCTGTTATGGTTAAAAAAGATGGTTAAATAAAGATTTAATTTGAAGTCTGTGTTTGTGTTTTTTATTAAAATTAAATCATTTAGCAATATTATAAAAAGTCCAGGCAGAGCTGCACATAAAATATGGTTTCAAATCATTTCAATAATTATCGATATCGATCAATATGCATTTTTTTTTATCGATAAGCTTTTTTTCTATATCGCCCAGCCCTACGTCAACATATGGCAACTCCACTCGGACAAACTGTAATGCAGCCACATCTCAAGAATCAGATCTCTTTTGGAATCTCAACATATTATTAACTATATTTGCTATTATTTTACATTTCATTGGCGATCTAAAGTAGCCAAAAGTAGAAAACAATCATTGTCAGTCTTGAAGGAAAGCACAGCCTTCTAAGACAGACTGAGCTCTGACATTTGAATTTTATTTTATTCTTTTTAATAAAAATCTGAGGGCAGAGGAGGACAAATGAGACATCTTAAAAATTACTTTCGTAGAGATTTTAGACAGAGAAAACATCTATCTACTTTTAGAAACGAACGGTTGTTGTTTACACAAAGTTGAAAATAATGTAGCTTAATACGGCTAATTGACCGAGCTAAAATAAGCTAACCTTTAGCTACTGAACACAGCTAGCCACAGCGCTACCCAGCTATCACCCGCTTATATAATGGTCTAGCAGTTACTTTGCTCACATTTTGTTATCGATCAGGTAAAACTTCATCGGTCATTAGACCGCTCCTGATTCGACACACTGACGCTGTGAGATGTTATCGTTGTCTGGGCAACCACCATTTTTTACATCATGTGGCAACGTTCAGCCAGTCATGTAGCGTGATATCACTAGCATGAAGCAGGACCCCAGCAGATCTGGTACCTGCACTAGTACAGGACCCATTTCATTTACCCTTCGCACAATTGCAATCCCATCTGTTACTGCAGGGTCAAACAAGCATAAACCGTTAGATTAATAACAAAAAATAACCTTAGTTCAATCATCAAAAGTCCACTTCTAGTGCAATCAGTTCCAGGGCTTTCCTCAGATAGCTTTGTGTGACTTCACACCAGTTTCAAATACTTTGTTTCAAACTGTCCATTACTTTTTTCTTTTCTCGTTGCCACCGATTTCATAGCACTATGTTCAGCTTGTAATGCTGGAAATTGCCTGTGCTTGGATATCAAAACTGAAATAAGTAAAACTGCCATCCAATTAACGGCATCGATGCCTCTAACCAATGACAGCAGTTAAAGAGGGTGAATTGTCTTACCCAAGAACACTACTGAGACTCTAACCAGCAACCCAACATTTACAGAATGATTTCTTTACTTCTTGAGCCATTGTGGTCCCCAATGGACACTGGCCATCTTGCAGGTCTTCAGTTGTTCAGCTAGCTGTGTCTTACTCATGCCAGTTTCCAGCAGTGTCAAGATGGCTGCCTTTGTGGTTTCAAATAATTATTGTGCTTTAGACAGAACATGTCGAATGAGACAAAGTGTTACATAATCAGTTGCATTTTAGTTGTGTTCACTACATGTTTCAGGTAATTACCTTTAGAGCTACCGGGCTTTAAAATGAACCAGACATCAAAGAAAAAAAGGATGGACTAATACTTTTATCGTATGACTGATTGTGAGTTGGATTGGTGCGGCGTCTGCTGGGAGGCGTGCAATGTACCAGCCTGTTGTGTTGAAGAGAGAGCTGAGCCAAAAAGTAAAGCTCTCGATTTACTGGTCGATCTACATTCCTTCTCTCATCTATTGTCATGAGTTTTGGATCATGACTGAAAGAATGAGATCCCAGATACAGGCGGCTAAAATTAGTTTTCTCCGTAGAGGGTCTGGGTTCTCCCTTAAGCCCGGCGTACGCTGTGTGATTTTCGGGGCGATTTTCCAGTCGTGCGAGAATCTTTCGGCCAACTTTCAGCCTGATCGTGTGTCGTAAGTCGTATAGTGTACAGGGGGTTACGAGGGGCGATCAGCCTCTCACGACCAGCTCCCGATCAGGAATCGGTCATTTTTCTTTTTACTCTTCCTCTCAGATGTAAACACAGCAGAATGGCAGGGATGCTATGAGTTAAATGCAGTTCTGTCTGTAAAATTGACAGACCGTAGTAGCCACATTTGTTCAGCCATCTCTTTGTCCAAACACGTCGTCGCCTTTTCTATTTAGGGCTTTCAGCACAAAATTGCACCGAGTTCGAGGTGGTTTTTAGTCGTACAGTGTGAACAGGTAGATCAAATGAGAACGTCGGGTCGAACATTAATCGTGAGCTGTGAACTCACACTGTACGACTAAACCCTGAGGTATAGTCGTACAGTGTGAGCAGTAGCTGGGTGCAACAATTGAAAAAAAAAATCGCACAGCGTACTCCCGGCTTTAGAGATAGGGGGCGGAGCTCAGTCATTGGGGGAGGACTCAGAGTAGAGCTGTTCCTCCACGTCAGGAGGAGCCAGTTGAGGCGGCTCAGGCATCTGGTTAGGATACCTCCTGGACGTCTCGATGGATGGGTTAAGGCCACGTCCCGCCGGGAGGAGGCCAAGGGAGAGACCCATGACACGCTGGAGTTATTTAGTTTCTCAGCTGGCCTGGGATGCCTTGAGATACCCCCTGAGGAGCTGGCCCAAGTGGCTGGGGAGAGGGATGTCTGGGCCTCCCTACTGAAACTGCTACCCCCGCGACCAACCCCGGATAAGCAGGAGATGGATTGATGGATGAGTGTGAGTTGTCTTTGGGGTTTCCTCCCAGTGGGACCCACCAGGAAGCACCCTGATCAGATGGATGGACCACATTGGTTCACCTGGACAGGTGAAACAGCTCCTAATGCCATCTTTAAGGCAAAGCCCACACATCCTCCAGATCAAGCTCAATTTAGGTTGTATCTGGTCATGATCCATATCACCTTTCCTTGGGGTTTTGTGTTCCACCGGGGGATCCATAGCCCAGAACCAATTACAGGAGCTCTAAACTAAATCCATACCCAGCAAAAACAGCCTTGGTGTAGAGATGGAGACATAATATGCGATAGGTCCCTACTGCCATGGAGGACGGAAACGAGCTGGGCTTGGCCCAAACACCAAGGCCGTTAGAAGTAGTAGAGTGCTCTGTTTCTTCCAACAAACTGACCATTTTCCACGAAACCTGATTTCAGCTGGCAGTAAGTTAAAGGCCCGGAAAAGCACCTGTTCCCCACAAGAACCTCTTAGTAAACAAGTTTTTTTTTTTTTTTTTTTACATATTAAGGACACATAAAGCTCTCATGTTATGCGTCTAGTCTTGTCCTGATTCTCCTGAGAGACAATCACCTCCGAAGGGTTCCACTGATGTCTGAACTGAAAGCAAGAGGTCTTTGTTTGGGTTTAGTGACGCCATGATGGGTTAAGGAAGTGTAGTTGGAGCAATAAGAGACAGAATTAATTTGATCTTTGAGGCACTTCTTCAATAAAACTCATCTCCCCGTTAGCGTCCCACGTTTAGTCACAGACGATCAGAAAAGATTAAAAAAAGAACCTGGTGGCGCCAATGAGAATGTGTCATTTACATCATTAAAAGGCATTGTCAATTTAGGATTTTCTTCCTACATTATAATACATAATAACTTAATTTTTTTTTATTTTGTCATCGTACATTCTTGCTTGGTCTGAGGCGTGGCCCCATCTACAAGATATAAAACAGAAATAAAGAAAAAGTGCAGTTAAAATCATCTTTCAGAGAACTCTCCTGTTCATCCCAGGATGTAAGATGGGCTGAGATGTTTTGATGATGGCAGGCACAGAATAACAGGTTTCTGTTCAGGCATGAAAGAGCTGGTCGTGCTTTGATTTAAGGATGGAAAAGGTCAGAAAGAAAAAGAAGGGAAGAGGACAACAGAAGGTCCGGGGCATCCTCGTAGTCCAGGGTTTGTTTTCCACCTAAAAACTATGACAGACTGGAGAGTCTGCTACTCGGTAAAACCATCCAATAGTCCAGGCAGGAATCTCTCCCGTTTGTTGGCCTTCACGTTCCTGCGGTGAGTTGGGCGTCCTCCTTGCCTTCCACAGTTGGCTTCTGGTGGTTTTATTTTCGGCGAGGACGGCTGCTTGGACAGACAGAAGGTGGGCGAAAGAGGAAGCTGCTCTCTCCTTCATACGGACTCTTCTGCTGATAGCAGCAGGGGGTTGATGTATTCAAATCCCTCGAACTCTGACTGGTCTATCCTCTTGATTACGTCCCTAAGAGGAAAGAGAAAAAAAGAATCACACAGGATGTTCCAGTAACAACAATCATCTCTGAAAATGTAATTCAGCAGACCTGGAATCAAAAACAATCAATCTGATTTGCTTTGATTTCCTCCAGTTCTTTTATTTTCTCCTCTTTATTTTTATACTTTTGTCCAAAAATGTACATAAAGTTGTTAAAATGACTAATTTTCATTATTTAAAAAGTGGAATCTGGGGTAATTTCATTTTACTGTGTCTCCGGTTCCTGGCAGACAGCACTGGACTTGTTTTCCCCTTTGGGCATTTTTTTTTTACCATGAATCCCTTTATCAATCTAAAACGTTGATGATTATCCAAAGGTGGAACGTACAATTAATGATTATAAAATAAAAACTGTTGTGCTTAATATTTTAATTTGAGCATTTAATCATTTAATTATCAGACATTTTATGCTTTTCATCAAAAAAAACCTCCAAATATTTTGCCAGGACATTGATAAGGAATCAAAATAAATACAAAATAAAATCAGATTATAAATCTGTATTTAAAGTTGATGAATTGGGAACAAAAATTATAGTCAGACTGAATTAATTAGTTTTTGCAGCTGTTTTTTCTATGTCTGCTTCTGTCTCCTTGAACCCCAGTCGGCCTCAGCAGATGGCCGCTCACACTGAGCCTGGTTCTGCTGGAGGTTTCTTCCTGTTAAAAGGGAGTTTTTCCTCTCCACTGTTGCTACAAGCATGCTTAGTGTGAGGGATTGCTGAAGAGTCAATGCAATCAACTGGTTTTCCTTAGATAGAAAAGGTTGAATCAATGACGTGTTGTGAAGTGGTGCTATAGAAATAAACTGAATTGAATAAAGACACCTGAGCTGCTTTAACAGCTCTGATAGCTCAGTGTGAAGAACAGCTGATCCCAGGCTGTTCTCTACGTCCAGTCTGTTCCTCTGCTTGGTTTGGATGTGTGTCAAAGCTGAAGGTGGACTCAAACACATTAGAAAAACAGGTTTTAGTTGATAAAAGCTTGTTTAATCTTTCAATTGGGTCCTCACAAAGCAGAACAGATACCAGCCCTATTTAATTTTACTACCTAAGAAATAAAATATTTTCATTTAAACCTTGCAATGGACTTGCTGACCACTAGGGGTAGGCGTGCTCCCAGTTGTAAAGAAATGGGATTGCTAACAGTGAAGCCTGGTTTAGGCTCAGAAACCAGGTCGTCTGCGTGTGTGTCGCAGTCAATCAACGCAGATATGCCCCCCCCACATGCAGACACTCTGTTGCACCTCCCCAAAATTGTAGGTGACTGCAGACAGTGCCACAGACAGGAGGCATATGATTGGTCAATTCTACATCCGCTCTACACTATGTGTGTTTCCTGTTTGGTTCCTTACCGGCTTGTTTTGTTTTTATGACCGCCATTGTGGAAAACGACTCGTGAAGTTGGACCAGCTAGAAGAGCGAGGTGCGCGAGAACGCTGGGACCCTTTTTCCACCGGGATCCCCGCTCTTTTTCGCCCTCATGTCCCTCCGTTGTCGGACAAACTTGCCCCCACTTCCTTACCGCCTCGGCCGTATCTAGATCCACAGCTAGTTCCTGATTGGCCCTTTTGCGTTGTGCCATGGAATAACATAGCGCAGAACACGCTTCAATATTGAGCATGAATAAAAAATATCTACGACACACTGCTGCGGGAGGATAACCAGCCCTTAAGTCACACATCATTTTATCCTTTTTTCTTAGGGCAACAGTGACGTTGGATGTAGGAGTTTGCCCTGAAATCAAAGGTTTGACGGTTCAAGCCCCGACTCCGACTTTTAGTGTCGTTGTGTCCTTGGGCAAGACACTGCCTAGAGGGTCAGGGGGCCCGATGGCGCCAGTGTACGGCAGCCCCGCTTCTTTCAGTGAGCCCCAGGACAGCTGTGGCACAGTGTAGCTTGCCACCATCAGTGTGTTCGTGAATGGGTGAATGAATGTAGTGTAAAGCGCTTTGGTCAAGTCTCCTGACTTGAATAAAGGCGCTATATAAGTACATGCCATTTACCATTTCTTAAAGTCAATGAGGGTATTAATCATAAACTGCTTCCCCACTGCTTAGCAAGAGCAACAATGATCAAAGAGAGCGCGAATAAAATCAGAATTGTTCTTAGACTGGCTTCTCATTTAAAGCGAACATAGGAGGTCAGCTCTTTATGTTTTATGATGACAGCTCTGTAGAGTCTGAATTTCCCACCTCCAGGAGGTCCTCTCTGTGTCCTCGACTCCACTGTCTACACACATATTTATTAGAGTTGCACAATTATGTCAAAATGTGTTTTCATATTTCATCTGGACCACACATAAGCACCAGAGGTTCATTGTTTCGGTGGCCTCGAATGCTCCTTTGTCCAGAGTGGTGCTGCTAGCTTCCATGCATGGATCTCGTCACTACCCGATCCATACCATCCGCAGATTTGCACATATTCATCCAAGTCACCAAAAATAATATAATTATGATACTAAAAGTACCTTTTTTTATCCTTAAATCACTAAAGAATTCTAATATAAATCTTTGCCTTATTTCTTTAGATTACGCACTAAATACCATAATGTTAACATGAAAGGAAACAATAAAACTCAGAAAGACTAGATTTATGCATTTATGTTCTCATGAAATGGATTATTAACCATTAAAACATTATAGTTTAGTATGCTTACTATTTTTAAAGAGGAAAAAAACGAAATTTAGATCTTTTTTACAAATTAAAATCAAAGGCGACCCTGATGTATATCTGCTTGCACATGCGCTAATGAGCTGATGGTACAGATCGGGTAGTTAGAGATCTGCCCTCTAGCTGCATCTTTCTCTTCCCTTGCCGCCACCCAAAGGGTAGGTGGGTGAAAGTTAGGGATCGACTCTTTTTAAATATAACGGGTCTGCATTTAAAAAAAAAAAAAAACTGCAAATGTGATTAATTGTCCTGCCTTCATGTAAAGGTGCACCACTGTTCAGGGACTTATGACCCTCATACCAACCTTTGAAGAACAAAAAACTGATTCCATGTCTTACACTGCAAAAATTGAAATCTAAAGAAGTCATTATTTCTTAAAATAAGTGCATTTTTTCTTGGATTGAGGAGGTAAGTGAGACACTTTGCCAATGGAACAAGATAATTTACATTTAAAATAAGAAAAAAACAATTGCATTGTCTTATTTCAAGTGAATTTTATCTAATTGTCTTATTTTAAGAGTAAAAATACTCATTCCATTGGCAAAATCTCTTACTTACCTACTCAAATTAAGGGTAAATACACTTAATTTAAGAAATCTTTACTTAAAATCTTGCCAATGGAACAAGACAAACAATTGCATTGTTTTATTTCAAGTGCATATTATCTAATTATCTAATTTTAAGAGTAAAAATACTAATCCCATTTACAGATCATCTTATTTATCTATTCAAATTAATTTAAGATGTTTTTACTTATTTCTAGATCGTTTTTTTTTTTTACAGTAATAAAGAGTTTTCCTTATTACTGCTCTTTACAAGCCTGTAGACTACAGATAGAATGAAGTTCTGTGGCTCTTTTTGTCTTTTTGATTCTTCCAAGCCACATTTTCACATAAGTTTCCCTAAAATCAAAGCAGCAGCCAAACTAGCTCCAAAGGGAGACAGTAGGAACGTCAGAACGGTTTTCAGAGAGGCGCTTTGCAGTGCAGGTGTCGTCTAAAGGAACAAGCTGCTCTTAATTTATCATCTCAGCCAATGAACTCCATCTTCTAAGGAATCCTAACAGCATGAGGCAAACTGTGTGTGGTCAGAGCCAGCGTTGGTTGGTTTGTACCTGCTCTGCAGGGCCTTAATGGGCCCGCTCTTTGTCTGCATCTCTTCAGAACAAAAAACCCACACATCTCACCCTCAGACAGGAAAATGAAAGTGCTGCAGGATAATCGAGAGCTCCGAGAGATTTTTTTTCCCTCTTCCTCCGAATGTTTCTACTAATAACAAAAGCATCATCACAGGTAACTGAAGTGGAACCCCATAAATAGAGGGTGAAGACTCGCTGGGTAAAAATAAATGGACTCCCTTAGCAACACTGCTGCTTTCTTCTTCTGTAGCAACAGGCTGTTTACTCATCTGTGTGTGCTGGGGTGGGGGTGGAGGGTGGAAGGAGCGACGGAGCCCAAAAAGGAGGCCTCTCGCTAGAAAGGCAGAGCGGCTTTCTCCCTGCAGACACTGAGCAGGGCTTTGAAGTTAAAACAAAAGGTGCGTTCAGTGGTCCACCAGGTGGGTGGGAGTCTCCCTTTAGGGGCCACCAGCGGTGTCAAACAGGTTGCCCATCCCACCCACACAGAGCACAGGGACAAGTGAATGAAACACTACAGTGTCTTTGCTGGAGTGCGGTGAGTGGAATATTGATGAAGCAAATATTTTTCTACCGTCTGATCTCATGTGAAGTACTCTCAGTGTAGGAGGAGGTCAACCAGCAAGACAACAATTAGATTTGGAACAGGGAGGGTCCCTGTGAAAGGCAGAGAGATGGAGCGCAGAGAGGGACCCACAAAGCTGAGAGGAGAAAACTCTGGTAGGGGACCAAAACAAACAGTCAGTACAACCAAAGCTGCATTTTTCCCTTGGAGGCCTGGATGACTTGAAAGCATTACCAGATGCAGAGAGAGGTTAGGAAGGGGGAAACCACTGCAGCTCGGAGCCTGGTTTTAGAAACGCAGCTCAGTTTTAAGACGGGAAAAGATTCTATGACGGGACAGGTGGCGTGAAGGCCAACAGAACCAGACAACGGCATATTCTGGTTTAAAGAGTTTTACCAAGACTAGGATGGCTCTGTCTCCGACCAGGGTCAGCTATGGATCACACTTATATTTGGAGTCTAATGATGGTGAGCTTTAAAGGAAAAGTCCGGTCAGCAAGGAATCATCAATGAATCATTAGCTATACCTAAAACTAAAACATTTGTGGCGATTTAATAAATTTAGCATTAATCAGTAAAAAGATAAAATGATAATTTTTGCC